GTTATATATTCTAGATAATAAACCTTTATCATGTGTATAATCTGCCAATGTCTTTTCCATTCTGTGAGTTTCCCTCTCACTCTGGGGATTGTCATTTGATGCTCAGTATTTTTACATAGTCCAATTTATCTATTTTTTTATGTTGCCTATCTTTTTGATGTCATATCAAGAAATCATTGCCAAATACAAGGTTATGAAAAATTGCTTCTATGTTTTCTTGTAAGAGTTTTATAGTTTTCACTGTTATTTTAGATTTCTTATCCATTTTGAGTTAATATTGAGTTAATTGTTTTACATATGTAAGGCAAGGATACAAGGTTACTGTTTTCTTATGAGTCGATATCTGGATTTCCCAAAATGATTATTTGAAAAGATTGTCCTTTCCCCATTAAATGGCTTTTGTACCTTTGTCAAAAAGATGATACAGTTGTATCATTTGACCATATACAGTCATGCACCACATAACAACATGTTTTGGTCAATGACAGATCACATATATAATGGTGGCCTTATATGAAGATAGTGCCATAATTTTACTGTACCTTTTCTATGTTTAGATGCCCATATACTTACTGTTGTGTTATAATTGTCTACAGTCTTTAGAACAGTTACATGCTGCACCACTTTGTAGCCTGGGAGCAACAGGCTATACCATATAGCCTCAGTGTGTGAGGGCTATACCCTCTAGGTTTGTATAAGTGCACTCTGTGACGTTTGCACAAGCACAAAATTGCCTAAGGATTCATTTCTCATAGCATGTCCCTGTCTGTAAGCAAGATATGACTGTGTGTGAACATCCATTTCTGGGCTCCTCTTTTCTATTCCATTGGTTTACATGTCAGGCACCTTTTTTAAAATCAGAAGTTCATTATTTAGTTTTTGGTCCTAGATCCCAATTTTTTTAAAGTTTGCATACAGTGAACTCTCACTTTTAAAAATGTGTGTGTCTGTGTGTATGTTGGAGGATAGGGAGAGAGCAAAGGGAGGTCGGTGATTCATGTTAGGATGCGGGTCAAACAGCTGGCGACTACTGAAACAAAATATTAATGGAAGCTATTAGTATCTCTAGTTCAGAATATCACATGTGGTTTTTGTATTGTTCTAGAAGCTTCACTTGGACATTTTCTGTAATAAACATGTTTTCTTTTATAATAAGAGATAAGGGGCTGGGCGCAGTGGCTCACGCCTGTAATCCTAGCACTCTGGGAGTGGCCGAGGTGGGCGGATTGGCTCAAATCAGGAGTTCGAAACCAGCCTGGGCAAGGAGCGAGGACCCCGTCTGCTACTATAAATAGAAAGAAATTAATTGGCAACTAACAGTATATATAGAAAAAATTAGCGGGGCAGTTGGGGTGCACGCCTGTAGTCCCAGCTACTCGGAGGGCTGAGCAGGAGAATTGCTTGAGCCCAGAAGTTTGAGGTTGCTGTGAGCTAGGCTGATGCCACGGCACTCACTCTAGCCTGGGCAACAAAGCAGATTCTGTCTCAAAAAAAAAAAAAAAGAGATAAGGACCTAGCACTCTGGCAGGCCGAGGCAGAAGGATTGCTCCAGGTCAGAAGTTTGAGACTAGCCTGAGCAAGAGGGAGACCCTGTCTCTACTAAAAACAGAAAGAAATTATCTGGACAACTAAAAATATGTAGAAAAAATTAGCCAGGCATAGTGGCATATGCCTGTATTCCCAGCTACTTGAGAGGCGAGGCAGGGAGAGAGTCATCTGAGCCCAGGAGCTTTAAAGTTGCTGAGCAGCTTAGGCTGATGCCATGGCACTCTAGGCCTGGGCAACAGAGTGAGACTCTGTCTCAAAAAAAAAAAAAAAAGAGAGAGAGAGATAAGGATAAAGAAGAGCTTTGCAAGTATAGGTTACATGGCTAACCCCAAGATGTAAAGGGACAAACATAAATACAAAAGAATGTTGGAGAGTTCAGAGCTCAAGAAAGACAGAGGTTCTGTTTAGTCTGGGCACCTGCGGTGAAGGGAAGATGAGATGGATCCTGGGAGGGGTGAGAGTCTGGAAGCCACTCATGTCTGTCCCTGCTTTGACCCCACAGGTCCTAGCTGACTCTGCCACCACCAAGCAGGACGGGGTTCCCCAGCTGATACCTGTCCCCCAGCGATGGAGGCACAGCCCTGAAGATGGTTTGTGTCCACCAGGTACATTCTCTGATCCTTTCTCCTCTTCTCCTGCCTCCACGAGCTTCCAGGCTCTGCCTCCTGAACTCCTGGCTCGTTATTGCACAGGAGTTTATGGGATGCCTTCTGTGAGTCAGGCGCTGTGTAGTGCGGCCAGGAGGCCATGTGCTTTGGAGCCTTCCTTCTGGGCTGGGATGAATGTGACGGTCAGAGAGGCCCGGGAATAACCTTCAGGAATCATTGAGTGGGGCAGAGATGGGGTCGGTGATGCCTCCCAGAGATGGTGACAGCGGGGGGCATCTCAAAGTTGGCAGGACCAGCAGTGCCTAGAGCCTGGAAGAGCACTCCTGAGAGGGCCCCACAGCAGTGAGTGCTCAGGGGACAGGAGCTGGGGTGAGTGGAGGGAGGAGAGGGCAGGGGACAAGTTGGGGCAGATCACACATGGAGGGAGTTGGGTTTTAGTTTGTGGGCGATTCACAAAAAGTTTCAGCAAAGGGCTGCCAGGATCCCATTCATATTTTTAGTGCTCACTCCTGGAAGGAAGGGGGCAGGCAAGACAGGACACAGGTGGAGGGCCTCGTGGGGGCGCTCCCTGGGCATGCTACATGGTGGGTGTCTCAGCTCCATGGCATCCTCTGAGCCTGTCAGGGCTGCTTGACCGCTGTGTTTGTCTCACAATTGTTTCCACACACATGGGAGGTGGAAATACATCACCTGCTACACAAGGGCTTCTGCAGGTGGCAAGAGTAGCATGCAGTGATTTTTGGAAACCAGTTACAGATTTGCATTTCATTACGGGGCACCACAGGAGAGGCTGTCCCTCCCTTCCAGGAGGGCAAACCCTCAGTGCGCAGGAGGGCTTGTCTAGGGTAGAACATGGAGAAGGAGGAGCCCAGGCCAAAGTTCACAAAGGCTGAACTGTCAACGTGCCTGTCGCTGCAGTCCAGGGTTGAGCTGAAGCAGTAGGGAAGACTTAGGATTATTTGGGGTTTGCTGTCGGCACTCGAGGATGGATTCTATGCAGGGAGCGAGGACAAGTGAGGCACGAAACCCAACTTCTCAGGGGGAATTGAGTCTCTGAGGGGACAGTGTGTGGCAGGGCCAGCAGTACACATTTGGGGACCCCAGCACATAGGTGATTCTCGTGAAGCCTCAGTCTCATGAGAAGGAAACTGTAGGTTCTGAAGAGGATAGGGCACAAGGCACCGGACATGGGGACGCTAGGCCCGGGGACAGGTCAGCGAAAGGGCTGGGAAGGAACTGTCCGTGTAACTTGCATCTGGAAGCAGCAGATGCTTCCTTCTGCAGAGAGTGGGCACCACGGCCCATGCTAAGCACCCAGACACCAATACGCCTCCAGATTTGCATTTCACTTAGGGTGAATGAGATCGAGCATCTGTTCATGAGGCAGATGTCATTTGTATGTTGTTTCTGTTAGATTTTCTTCGCTCTATGTTTTTTTTGAGACAAAGTCTTGCTTTGTGTCCCGGGTACCATGCAGTGGTGTCATCATAGCTCACTGTAACCTCCAACTCCTGGGCTCAGCAAGCCTCCTGCCTTGGCTTCCCAGAGTGCTAGGATTTCAGGCGTGAGCCACCACGCCTGGCCAATTGTAGAGTTTAAACCATTTTTGGGGACGTCCGCTGCTGCTGGTTACTCAGCACTCCAGGTATTTTTCTCTGAAGGAAAGCTGTATCCTTTTATGCTTCAAGAATGGCTCTCCCTATCATCGTAAAGTGGGGTGGACAGGAATATTCAATGACCACACTTTCAGAAGATGATACTGTGCTAGATCTCAATTTCTTAAGACCCTTAACGGGAGTGCTGCCAGAACGCCAGAAGTTACTTGGACTCAAAGTTCAAGGCAAACCTGCAGAAAATGATGTTAAGCTTGGAGCTGTCAAATTGAAACCAAATACTAAAATCATAATGATGGGAACTCATGAGGAGAGCTTGGAAGATGTCTTAGGTCCACCCCCTGACAGTGATGATGTTGTTAACGACTTTGATATTGAAGACGAAGTAGTTGAAGCAGAAAATAGGGAAGAGAGCCTACTGAAAATTTCTCGCAGAGTAAAAGAGTACAAAGTGGACATTTTGAATCCTCCCAGGGAAGGGAAAAAGCCTTTGGTACTAGATGTTGATTATACATTATTTGACCACAGGTCTTGTGCAGAGACTGGGGTAGAATTAATGCAGCCATATCTTCATGAATTCCTAGCATCTGCATAGGAAGATTATGACATTGTTATTTGGTCTGCAACAAATATGAAGTGGATTGAAGCTAAAATGAAAGAGCTGGGAGTGAGCACAAATGCAAATTATAAGATTACCTTCATGTTGGACAGTGCTGCTATGATAACAGTGCATACCCCAAGGAGAGGATTAATAGATGTCAAACCTCTTGGTGTTCTATGGGGAAAGTTTTCGGAGTTTTACAGCAAAAAACCCACCATTATGTTTGATGATATAGGAAGAAATTTTCTAATGAACCCGCAGAATGGATTAAAGATAAGACCTTTTATGAAAGCACACTTAAATCGAGATAAAGACAAAGAACTTTTAAAATTAACTCAGTGCCTCAAGGAAATAGCAAAATTAGATGACTTTTTGGAGCTAAATCACAAATATTGGGAAAGGTATCTCTCAAAGAAGCCAGGACAGTAGTTACAGTTGTAATGGCAGTTATTGAAGATACTTGAGATCCATGAACTTCTTGCTTTTATGCTCGAGATCATTATTCTAGTGCTGGACACTGAAGCAAATATCAGACTGCTTATACTTGGTCTTCCAGTGTTTTGTAAATGTAATTTTATATTTTCTGAAGATCATAGCAATATGCTAAAAAAAATTTTTCCCCCAATATGAATATTCTGTTACTCTTCGAAAATATTTTCTCCAGCATTGATTACTGAGGGCTTTTTTTTTCCACACACATAAAAAAAAAGTGGAAAAAATATATACTCAACAATGCCATTTTGTGACTTTGGAAACAAGTTATGTTTTTGTCTCATGTTATTGTTCGACTAAATCTGAGACCAAACCCATCTTGAAACTAATGCTTTTCCTTTTAAAACCAAAAAAAAAATTTTTTTTTTCAAATAAAGAACCTAGTTTGTTACGCTTAAAAAAATAAATAAATAAAACAAACCATTTTTTGCTTAACATCATTACTGAGAAGGAAGGACTCATTTCTGCTCTTTAGTTATTTGTTTTCTTTATGTCTGATATGTATCTTGTTCCTCAATTCTTCCATTACGGCCTATATATAAAAATATATATATTTAGTTGTTTTCTTGTTTTCTTGGTGTGCACTGTTTTGATTTCCCTCTTCTTTGTACCTTGTGTGACCATTTACATGAATCTTAAGGACATGTGTATGATATGGAGTTGACAAGGGGAGACTTGTGATGGTTAATTGTATGTGACAACTTGGTTAGGCCACCATACCCAGATACTTGGTCAAACATTATTCTAGGCCTTTCTGTGGAGATATTATTTAGAAAGATTAATATTTAAATCATAGACTTTGAATACAGCAGAATATCCCCATAATGTAAGTAGACTTCATTGGTTGAAAGACATTTTTATTCAATACTTTAAATACATCACTCACTGTATCATGGCCAGTATGGTTTGTGATGAGAAATCAGTTGATAACCTCATAGAGGTTCCCTAGTACATACCAAGTGGGCTACTGGCTGCTTTCAAGATTTTCTGTTTGTGTTTGGCTTTTGTCCATTTGACTTTAATGTGTCTTGGTATGATTTTCTTTGAATTTAGCCTGCTTAAAGATTGTTTATCTTCTTGGATGTGTAGACAAGTCTTTTTCAAAAGTCTTGTGCCTCTTTGTTAAATCTATTCCTAAATGTTCTATTCTTTTTGACCCACAGTGAATGAAATTGTTTTCTTAATTTCATTTTTGGACTGTTCTTTGCTACTGAAAGACTTTTACACTGAAAATTATAAAACATTGCTGAAAGAAATGAAAAAAAAAAAACCTAAATAAACAGAGAGACACTATGTTTATGGACTGGAAGACTTAAGAGTGTGACGATGACAAATTAACCAAAGCGATATACAGATGTAATTCTTATCAAAATCCTAACAGTGTTATTTCAAAAATGGAAAAACCCATCCCCAAAATCATACGAAATTTAAAACAAACGAAATCAACCAAAACAATCTTGTAAAAGAAAACCAAAGTTGGGGGACTCACACTATCCAATTTCAAAAATGCTTCTCACTTCTGGGGTAGCTTTGGCTTCCATTTATTTGGGTCATTCTTTGACTTTCTAGAAGTAGGACCCATGTTTTCCTTCCATTTTCCTTCCATGACTGATGACATGAGCTTTAATTTTGAAGGCTTTTCCCATTATCATATTACTTCTGCTCCTGTTTATATCTTCCACTAACTGAGAGCTCACTGAGGACAGGTATTGGGACGTCCTTGTGTGAGTTTCCAGGGTGTACGATGGTGCTGTCCAATGTTGGTAGTCAGTAGACCCATGTGACTGTCCATCACTTGAAATATGCAGCTGTACACTGAGACATGCAAAGAGTGAGAAATGCACACTATGATTTGAAACATACTAAAAAAGTGTAAAATATCTCCATGTTTTACGCTGATTATGTACTTAAGTGATATTAGTTTGGGTATATGAAGTTAAAATGCATTATTAAAATGAATTCACCTCTTTCACTTTTTTGATGTGGTGAGTATGAATTCAAATTTAATTTGTGGCTTGTATTATATTTCTGTTAGCATTGCTGATCTAAGGTATGTAATAAATGCAGAACTGATGAACTGACCAAGCCAGGTACAGTGGATTTCCCTGTTTGGGTTCCACTGATGGCTGAAAAGGTACTCCAGCCTCTAAGAATCCTGTGAAGATTCATTTACCAGCTTTTTGTCTCCTCTCCCAGGAACCCATATGTCAGAAGATAGTAGAGATTGTCCCTCCTGCAGTTATGGAGTGGACTACACCACTCATTGGAATGATCTCCCTTCCTGCCGACCCTGTTCCGTTTGTAATTCAGGTACACGTGGACTCAGAGCCTGAAGATTCAACACAGCATGATAGGAATTTGTAGCATAAATGAAACCAGGATTCCAGTCCCACTGGTCTTCATATCCCATTGTTCCATGATTATATATTTGGGTCATTAAATACATAAAACAGAAATGATTTTTATAATGCATGCCACCTGGGAGGGAAATCTTTTATACTATAGGTTGCAAGGGCGTGGGGAGTAACTTACAGCATGGGGAAGGCGTGGCCCAGGGGAAAGAGCTGGGTTTCAGCCAGGACATAGGTCTGGCCCTGAACCGGGCCCCACCCAGCTTGGACTCTAGGCAGCTGCTCCACCTCTCTCAGCCTCATGTCCTCAGGCCCCTTACTCCTGGCCAGCAGGGCCAGACTTTGGAGAAATCACCCAAGGGCTCCTCTCCCGCCAGGGTCTCTCAGGTTCTACCCCTGCATGTCCCTTGCTACCTACTGGCCATGTTATTGAAATGATTCTTTTCCCCTAATCTGATGTAAGAGATAATGAATGTTGGTCCCTTTTTGTACGACTTTGACTATTGGTAACAGCTGAAGGGTGGCTGTCCTCTGTGTGCTCAGAGTGGGTTGGCACAGAAACTGGTCCTCAGAGCTCCCTGGTGACCTGAGCTGAGCTGAGTGGGAAGGGGTCAGGGTAGTGAGGAAGGGGTGAGGGACACGCCAAGGAAACGTATCCCCAAAGACTTTTCCTTTGTCTGCAGATGAAGAGGAGAGCAGTCCCTGCACCATGACCGCAAACAGAGAGTGTCAGTGCAAAGCAGGCACCTTCCGGGGAGAAGATTCCCCTGAGTTCTGCCAGAAGTGCCGCACTCGGTGAGACAGGCTTGACCCTAGAAGACCCGAGTTTCCTTGTGCCTTTTCTGTCCCCTGAACTCCATAAGGTCTCGACCCTCTTGGGGCATCCCTGACCCTGTGGTGTGTCCCGAGCCTACAGTGGCCCCCCCTGGCCCATCTGCCTGTCCCCACCCCAGCCCCCTGCCGCAGCCCCTTCCCCCACCTCGCCAGCACGTGTCCCATTGGGCACAGGAGCCCACGACTTAGGGCCCATGATATCCTTAGGGACCCACGAAATATGTTTTTTTAAATCATAAGTGGGAAGGATCCAGCCTGCGATGTATTAATATTTATCCTTAAACCAATTCAGTCCTACAATGCAATTTTTAATAATTTTTTTATCCAAGCAAAGACCAATAAGGCCATGGATGTAGCTCCTTCTAGATTCCTCTGACCTGAGCCAAATAAGCTGTCCTCACCCTGCCCCTTGTCCCTCAAGACCTGTCTTGTTCCTATTTGGGGTTTCAGGGACGGAGAGTGATGACTCTTCTCTGACCCCATTGCTCGCTGTGACGGGGAGGGACGTGCAGACAGGTGGGGGAATGGGAGCTCAGTGGTATCAGGGTTGGCTGGAGGATGTGGCTCAGCTTGTGGCCACAAGGGTGTCCCCCCTGCCCTGGAGGGGGGTTCCTGCTAACTCAGCCCCTGCCCCCTGCAGCCCAGAGAAGCCCCAGGTGTGCGGAGCAGAGGAGGCTCCTGGCGGCCACAGCCCTGACCACGGAGCAGGGAGCCCAAGAGACTGAAGTTCACATGCTCAGATCTTTCCCTGGACTCAGCAAGGGAGAGCGGGCCCCCAGAGACACGAGAAGCCTGTCCTTCCTCTATCACCTGCTCAGGGACAGTGGGCGGGAGAGTGGCTTCTCTTTCATCCCCTCTGGCCAGCTTTCCCTCATGGAATCCCACGTCTCCTCCCTGTGTGTACCCAGGTGCCCTGATGGCATGGTCGAGAATAGAACTTGTACACCCTGGAGTGACCTTGTGTGTGTCCCCAAAGGATCAGGTACTAAGACGTCTGGGGAAGCCCCGAGTCCTGGAAGGCCAGTGACTGCCAGCCAGGGGAATTCCACTTGTCTTCTCCCTTCCTCAGACATAAGCCTCATCTTGATAGTGATATTGATTGTCCTCGCGGTTATCATACTGGGGGCACTTCTTTACTGCTGGTGCACCCGCACAGGTATGTGCTGGCTGAGGGAGGGGCTGCTGGGTACTGTCTGCCCCTCCCCCACCCTGCTCCACAGGCAGAATCAACCTCCCCTGTCCCCCAAGTCCTTGTCACCCTGTGGTGATCACTCCATCTCCCACCTGATGGGCACCCTGCCCTGCCCAGGACCAGGATGTCATCAGTCCCTTTCCCGGGGCTGGGGAGCCCTCCCCTCCCAAGTCTGGAGGGCGGGGCGGCCCCTCCCCCTTCCATCTTCAGTGCCAGCCAGGGCAGAGAGGGCATCTGCTCCTCCACTGGGGACCAGGGTCAGGACCAGACGTGCCCAGGGGGTTCATACGGCTTTGGTCAGCATGGAACCACACAGAGATTTCACATGTGTTTATTTTTACTCTATTTTCTCCTCCTGCCCCTCCTGAGGGTGCCCCAGAGTTGGAAAGGCCCCATTCCTGTCCCAGGCCGGGGCTGCTTGTCCAGCGTCTCAGCCCCCAACCCAGCCCTGCCCGGACACTGCCCTCAGGGAGGGGGTGCTGCATGGGTCCCTCCCCGCTTGCTAAGGGGACCCCCCTTCTCTTCCAGGTGGCTACAAGAACCCCAAGAGCATGGCCAGAGTAAGTTGGTTTCTCCAGGACCTGGGGGTACCGGGTGGTCAGGAGCTGCTTCCTGCCCACACGTAGCCCTGGGTGGGGCGTCCCCACTGTCCTGCACGCTGTGCTGGCTCTCTGCAGTGGCCGGGGCTCTGGCTGACCGTGAGGGCACATGGCTGCTTTGGGCACCCCACAGGCCAGTGGGCCGTGCTGCAGCCCTGTCCTTCCTGCAGCGTGGGTGACACCCCCACCCCGCAGCTCTGCTCCCTGGGGATGGGTATGACCAGGGGCGTGGTGCCAGCAGCACATGCTGGATGTGCTCAGCCTCTGCCCACCTGGGGCGACCCCACTGGGAGGGGTGGGGACGGCAGGATCAGCAGTGCTCTGGGAGAGCTGTGGGGGCCCTGAGTGGAATCCTGTGTTTGCTCTTTGCCTCCCAAGTTCTTCTGCTGCGGGAGGTCCCCAGGAGGGCCTGGGGCTGAGGACAATGCCCACAACGAGATGCTGAGCAACAGAGACTCTTATTCCTCCATCGACTCTCAGCAGAAAATGGAAATCGAGGAGCCAGAAGTGCGGGCAGGTGTCCCCGTAACATCTCCAGGGCAGTCAGAGCGTCTGCTGGTGAGTGGGGTCGGCTGTGCTGTGTCCCAGTCCTGCTGCTGGCTCAGGACTTTGTAGGTACAGGGCCAGGACGGTGCCTCGGCTGTCCTGACCCAGGGTAAAGCGGAGCCTTAGGGACAGAGGGACTGTAGGCAACAGGGAGCATGGGCCAGAGCAGCTGCCCCAACATGGTGACCACCCACTCTGCGGGGCCTTCTTCTAAGTCCCTGTCCTGTTCTGACTGTGTCCCCAGAGCCTGGAGCAGTGCAGGCAGCAAGGGTGCCCGGGGTTTGTCGATGACTGAGTAAGTAAGGGCGGCCTGATCTCAGCCGTGTGCTCCTAGCAGACTCGGGGAGCCCTTGCTCCTGACAGCAGAAGTGTTAAATTGCCTCCAAGAGTATTAATACATTGAACGTATTTGAAAGTAAATTATTTTCCAGATTTCTGATCATGTTTGTAGGGAGGCTTGCAAGAAGTAGAATTTCTGAGTCAATGTGTGGAAGTGCCTTTTTCTTTCTTTTTTGTTTTTGTTTTCTTTTTGAGTCTCTGTCACCCTGGGCTAGGGTGCAGTGG